ACGCTCCTCTAATAATAATCAACACATAATATGTGAAATATACTCCTCCTCTCCCCGTACCGCCTGTTAACACTGCCAAACCCACCTGAATTGCAGGAGCAGTGTGTCCATAGTGCATTCATCCAAACCAATGACTTTCATTGTATCTGAGCTCAGAATTTACACAAAAACAACATCAAACACAAGAGACACATTAAACTGACACTTTTGCAATTGACAGGATTTTATTTTTTTTTCATGGGACTAATTTGTACAATTTGTTTGATGCCTATTTTCTGTCTGTACAATAATTAAGAGTTCTGTCAGGGAATGAGAGGCACAGGTGTAAGGTTACCACAATGGTCTTAATCAGCCACTGGCAGGAGTTTAATTTATTTATTTATTTTTAAATTCTTGGTTCTTTTTATCATTTTATCCATCCATATATTTTTCCATCAAAGCATCAACATTTTACCACTCCTAAAGTATTAGTGGGCTTTAAAGAAAGGAAGTTGATGGATGCTGGATTTTCTGARGTTTTATCTGCATTGTCACCTTTCACATTTCATACAGTATGTCCACCACCTCACACTGACTTTAGTGAACAACAACCTGCCTTGTTTTCTCTCTGGTAAAATGTGTTTCTTGAAGCGATGCAGCCCAGTACAACGTAAAACGTCTGAACATTTGGTCCCACAGTCACATGTTTCCTGTGCTTTGAGTACATAAAAAAGGAAAACAAAACTTGTTCTGGTGGCCTTGGTGAGCTTCCAAGGCCACCACAGTGTGTTTAGCTTGTGTTGGGGTCATCCATCACACCAGCTCCTTGTTGGTGGGAGGGACTCATCTCTCACCCCTGCTGAGACTCAATCTGGAGGCTGGAAGGATTTTCTCTTGTGCCTGCAGCATCCTGCAGCCCTCTGGCTGTTTTCAGACTCTATATTACAGCACTTTTATGGTATGTTGTTTATGAAATGGGGCCTAAAACCCTGACAAGACACAATCACCCCTTGGATGAACACAAATAGGTTTAAGTTCATATTTGAAATCATTTGTAGGCATGGATGAGAAAGCAGGAGAAACMGACATTTTTCTTGATGCCATTTTTAAGATGTCAGTTAAATAAAGCCATTTGCTAAAGTGAATAATACCCTGAAGATTTATATTCATTTTAACTGCAGAAAAACAATATATTAAAGTCTTGTGCAAATCACCTCAACTTTTAACTGAGATCATTTTGCTGAGAAGGGACAGAGTTGTAGTAGTTTTGGTCAAACCTTGTAAATGACGTGATGTGATGACCGCATACAACATTAAGATGCGTTAGCATCACAGAGTTAAATGAGTGAGTCCCATCTATCCCATCTACTGTTAGCATCTGTGACAACATGGAACAAAAATGGTGACCATACAGGGCGTCGGCTCACAGCTGTGATAGCAACTATTTGATTAACGGCCAGCCCAAGCGGATCTGTGTCATCTGTAATCTTTTTACAATAAATTATTATAATTGTTCGTTATGTTAACTTCATTCAACAATCATGTAAAATACCATATAAGTGACAATGATAAGAAACAGACCTGAATCAGTCAATAACTTAAGACTTTTTAMCTAGTTAGATACATATTTTTACACTATGTAAATATTTCTGAAATTAGAGGTAACCCCAGTTTGTAATATTTAATAGTTTGTGCTAAATGGTAGCATAATTCAACAGAGTACTACACTCTGTATATATATATGTATATAGCTATGCTACAGATGCTAATCTGCCAACCAATTCAGTAACTTACAGTGATTACATTGGCTTTATAACCTTTTCTAATTTTAAACTATTACATTAATAACTTCAGTTTTGGTCAGATCACGTCCACATTGAGGTAAATAAGAAAAAAATTGCTTATCAGTAAAAGTAAACACGTTTTTATGTTTCTCACACACAGCTTTCTGACATTTTATTTATATTAAATAGCTTGTATACACTCTAATCATTAATATTTTCATTATTATTATTACTGTGATGGACTTGCAACCTGTCCAGGGTGTACCCCGCCCCTTGCACTGTGACTGCTGGATATGGGCACCAGTGACCCACGCGACCCTGAAAAGGAAGAAGCGTGTACAGAAAATGGATGGATTATTATTATTATTATTATTATTATTATTATTATTATTATTATTATTATTATTATTATTGTTGTTGTTGTTGTTAACAGTTTGTACAAATTTTTACATGATCAGCTTTTATTGTTCACTATTTTTCCACTAATAACAGTAATGCTAAATCCTTTCTGGTTAGCACGCTCACTGCTACAGTAGATCACATGATCATGTGACCAAGACACATTCCAGCTGTTTTATATCTCCATGGTTAGCACTCAGAGTGTGTGGTGAGGATGACTTTTGGCTACTGGCAAATTTTAGCTCAATATCTGTTAAATTGACTAACTTTTAACCATTTTTGTGTTGACTAAGGATGATTAGTTGTTGTCATCTTGATTCCAAAACTGAATCAGTTGTAGATGCACATGTAGTGATTACTTTCTGTCAGCTTTATTAAAATCTGCCCGGTGGTTCATGAGAGAATTTTAAAATGCTACAGTCAAACGAATAGACAGACATATGGGCACCATTTGCACCTTTTTGGCTTAGGAGATGGTTAATAATAAAAAAACACAGGTTAAAATACAAACCGTTGCACTTAATTATTACTGATTTGAATCAGTTCGCTGTAATAACCCTGGTTACTTTGCTAAGTGGTTCTAGAAAACCTGAAAGTAGGATCACATCTAACAGCAGACATGGCACATGACCATAACAGTGGGTTATGATTCAAGGGAAATATGTTCATGTCTCAGCTCTCCACCTCCCCAGAAGGATCGTCTGCCCTCTCTCCTTCGCCCTGCCACCTCCTCTGGCAGCTGTATAATTCATGTGGCATTAAGATGATTGTGCAAACAGAGCCCATGTTAGGCAAGAACAGGCTGTGGCGTCAAACACCTCGGGCTCGACAGGGAAAGGCTTATTTCCCCTGCACTGCACTGCACAGCTTCAAAGAATAACATATACAGGCACTGCAGAGCGCCCACTTCCAACTCACAGTCCACAGGGCTTTGAATACATTTTATTATACAGGTACACAGAAGAGAATAACCACAGAATCCACACTGGTAGTTCTGATCAACTATTTGTGTTGTTCATATTCTCCTGGAAAATCTGCTTTATAAAAAAAACATTCTTCTCTTTAAGGAGTTGCTTTTAGGAAGGTTTTAACACACTGCTTCAGCTGGCTAAAGGAACTTCAAAATGTCTTTGGCATGAGCAAGGGACACACAGTGACAGGTGTATCCTTCCGCCTCTGAGGATATGTTAACCCTACGTTGGAATAAGTGCATTGTTTTATCTTGCTCTTGTCTGAAAACCTTAATTATACATTGTATTCATGATGCCGGTGACAAAAAAAATTGTGGTTTTATTCTTAGTTATCCTTTACTGATATAAAAAAAAACTGAGAACGTATGTATACAAGACTGTAAATAAAAATACACAAAAAAGGAATATCCGGATATGTAATATGTATATAATATAATCATTTGGGTAATGTTTAAGTAATTTTGCTCCAAACTGCTCTCAACGAGATTAATCACAATACTTGTTTCGGTAAAGTAGTCCAAAACACACGAAAGGCAAGTCACTACCGTAAATAGAAACCTTTTGTTGATTGACTACACATTCACCCAATCAGAGTTATTAATCGCGGGGGGCGCTGTTGATGACGAGCCGGCGTTTGACCAATAGGAACTCGTTCCTGAGAGTCGACCTCTGTGAGCCGCATCACCACCTCCTCGGTGTCCGTGGCGGAGGACTACTATATAAAAACAAAGCAGCCTAAGTTTTAAAGGGCAGAGTTGTAAAAACTCCCAGGCTGTGGGGAGTGGGACTGGAAGCTTCAGCATTGGATCCTTTAAAACCCCGACGGACACAAGATCGCCTGGATTTCAGACACATCTTTACAGTCTTTTTTTTAATCTTTATAAAGCTACAAGGGGCTGTACGAATATAACTCACGGAGGGAAGAAGGGCCTGCTCTGAATTTATGTGAGTACACATCTACTAGCTGTCATATATTGCTTTATTAGACGCTAAAAAAAGAGTCGTGCAGTGTTTGCCTAATCCGAGCRGTGACACAAGTTATTGTCGAGTATTTAATCTGTAACCACCCACCTGATTAAAACCTAGTTTGCCATCAACCAGGCGTCTTACAGTCGTCTTTGGTTCGGTTAACTTACGGCTTTTAGTCTCCGTTTGTCATTTTGTATGGAGCTAAATATCAGTTAGCTAAGCTAGCTGCTAGCTGGTTAGCATGCTACGTTTCTGTTCACACCCCAAAATACAAGCTGGCAGGCAAAATGTCAATCTTAACCCAGTGCGTTGTGGCTTTAAACGCTTGTCTTTCTTAAAAGAGTCGTTTTGTAGAGAAACGAGCGTCTTTGTGGTCGTGGTGAGACTTTGAATGCTGATTATGTAATTGTAATTCTCGTCTCGAGCTCGTACGTGCCTGTCTTTGTACTGTAGTCCCACAGGAACATACTGGAACAGCTTGACTGGTGTGTGTGTGTGTGCGCGTGAGTGTGTGTGTGTGTGTGTGTCACAGAAAACAAGTTTCCCATCGCTTTAGGGAGGTTTGTCTCAACATGTCCGTGTTTCGATCAGAGGCAATAACAGATCCGTAGGATGGTTGGCACCTGGCTGCAGGCAGAGGTCAGCCCCAGGGGGGGTTATCTGTCCCCCGGGGGAACACTGACACCACCTCTGAGTCAGTGGCCTGCGTTTATTTATAGCTGCTGATTATTGTTTCACCTCAGCTGCAGCTCTGCAGCAGAATAATCAGGTTCTGGAAACGAGTCCAGATGAAATGTCATTGATGGGGGTGGTGGTAGAATGAAACTATTATCTCGCGAGAAGGAACGAGATTGTAACAATATTTTTGAAGACACAAACTTTATTGTCCTCTCCAAACCTCAGAAGTGATTCCAACACATTTTTATACAAGCCCAAATTTAATAAACAGATCAAGACCCATTTTAAGATATAATTAAAAAAAATAAATAAATTAGAAGTAATATCTATTGACAAATATGAAATTATATTTTCTCATTTTTAAACAGGTGAAAGGCTCTTGCACAACTGTACAGTTTTTTTCCCCCCTCACAAAGTTTGATCAACTTTTTATTTCTCCTAAACTTTAAAAAAAAAGGTTTCATCTGTTTTCTCCAACATAGCTTTTAAATCGATGTGAGCTCACGATAGGTCTATTTAATTTGAAGTAAACATGTGACTCTTCCTCGGAATGAAGCTGCAGGAGAATAGAGGAAGCTGAACTCACAACACAACTTGAGCAAGGTTTCAAGCAGCCGACATGTGTTTAAACTGCTGCAAATGGTTTGAAGTTGTGGGGAAAATCTCTAGTAATTTAACTAAAGAGATTTTTTTGTAATGTTAAGGTCCTGAGTTATCGATAACCCCATAGAGAGCGTGCATTTATTTGTTTGTTTYTTTATTTATTGACAAGATTAATTTTTAATAGTTTTTGATTTATTTTCATTTCAGAATCAATAACCCAGCTCTGTCAGAAGGACATCCGTTTTGTCTACCATTACCCTGCTTCCTCACCTCTGCGGCCCTGGACGTTTGTGACGCTCTGACAGTTGAAGAAACCTCTTCGCGACTGGAGCAGCTATGCAGCTTGAAATTCAAGTAGCACTCAACTTTATAATTTCCTATTTATACAACAAACTCCCTCGGCGGCGTGTGAATATCTTTGGTGAGGAGCTTGAGAGGCAGCTGAAGAAGAAATATGAAGGCCACTGGTATCCGGATAAGCCATACAAAGGTTCAGGGTTCAGGTGCATCCATGTAGGGGAGAAGGTGGATCCTGTGGTGGAGCAGGCGGCCAAAGAAAGCGGGCTGGACATCGAAGATGTCCGAAATAACCTTCCTCAGGACCTTAGCGTGTGGATTGATCCGTTTGAGGTTTCCTACCAGATTGGGGAGAAGGGCCCGATCAAGGTGCTTTACGTGGACGATAATGAGAACGGGTCCGAACTGGACAAGGAGATTAAGAACAGCTTTAATCCCGAGGCCCAGGTCTTCATGCCAATCAGCGACCCTGTCGGGGCTTCCTCTGAGTCCAGCTCCCCCTCCCCTCCCTTTGGGCAGTCTGCTGCTGTGAGCCCATCCTTCATGCCACGCTCCACCCAGCCCCTGACCTTCACTACTGCCACTTTCGCTGCCACTAAATTCGGCTCGACTAAGATGAAGAGCAGCGGCCGCGGCGGCAGCAACAACAACAACAACAGCAGCAGCAACAGCAGCAGCAGCAGCAGCAGTAGCAAGGTGGCCCGCACCTCCCCGACCAACAGCCTGGGTCTGAATGTCAACACTCTACTGAAGCAGAAAGCCATGTCCACCTCCATGCACTCACTGTARGGGCTGGGCCAGCAGCAGAAGGTCTCTGCTCTGTCCCCCAACGCCAAGGAGTTTGTGTTCCCCAGCCTGCAGGGCCAGTCCAGCCCTGGAGCCGTGTTCCCCGGGGAGGACTCCCTGGGCCTGGGCGCACTGCAGTACAACAATGCCTTTGACATGTTTGCAGCCTACGGAAGCCTCAACGACAAGTCCCTGATGGATGGTCTCAACTTCAGCCTGGGCAGCATGCAGTATTCTAACCAGCAATTCCAGCCAGTCATGGCTAACTAAGCTTTTCATAAATGTGCGATTTATGAATATGAATGATGGTGGCTCAAAGAGAAGGAAAAACAAAAAAATGCACACTTAGAAACCGGACTGAAGGATTTAGCTGTGTGATCAGTCAAAGCGCATGTGCCCAAGGGTGTTTCTACTGTGGCCCCTTGAGTTTGTTTCTACTGAGAGCTTGTTGTACAAACACATCCAAGCTTGGTTACTTCAACATGCATCATTGTTTTTTCTTTTTTGGCCAACCAAGCACAACTATTTTTTTTTCTTTTCTCCACTTTGAGAAACTACTCCAAAAAAGAATAAAAACAACAAGCTTCAAGTTTTGGCCTCTTACAGTATTTTACAGTTGGTAAGACGAGGCTGATTTTTATGAATTGGCACTACTAAGTGGGGTTACTTGGTCTTTTTCTAATTGTATAATTTAATTTAGTACAGAGTTTGTAAGATATCAGAGTATATATTGTTTCTATGACATGGTGTTGCATTTATATCTTTTTACTACTCCAGTGATCTGTGATGGCTGCAGCAGCTTTTCTTTATTTTCCTTTTTTAAAGATAATTGTTAAAGAAATCCATCTTTGGGGGAAGGGAGAAAAAAATCTGACAATTGTGTACAGAGTATTCCTTTAGTGGTGGAATTCAAGTGTAGGAATATTTGCTTTTTTTCTGAAAGATTAATTGTATTTTCTGTTAAAAAGGTTAAAGATTTTTGCTATACTATGGACAAAATGTAATTGTATGAATATTAATTTTGTACCTACATTGTGCAATACTTGATAAAGAAAAAAATACGGTATAACAAAGTATTTTGAGTCAGCGTCTTACATGTCAAGAGGGACTGAAATAGTTTATATGAGTTTGTATTAAATGCTTAAAAATGATATGCTTGTCTTTATTTTTTTTAATTTCATATTTGCACCCTGGTCTTTTTAATAAAATAAACTGCAGTTGAACATGATCTGGTGGAAGTGGACTCGTTTATTAGTGTCTGCCTGATGGTTTTCCTTAATGTTTAACCAGCAGCAGATAGATACTGGTCACATTTCAGGACTTATCATATCTGAAGCCTCATAAATGACTTCATCTAGTTTCACACAAAGTACTTTAATTTGTAAGGATATGCAGTGGTGACTGCTATGAGCCCATTTTTTATTAAATCAAATCTGAATGTTTTTACTTCTGATTTGCAACAATGAAATTCAAATATAACTATTCATATTCTGAGGGAAATTATTTAGTTTTAACCAATGATCAGAATCTTAGGCATGACTTCTGACATTTTAGACGATTAAGGAACATTTTGACAGTTGTGAAAACTAATCTGTGGTCAACATCTTGATGAACAACCTCTGTTTATAGAGAAACTTTCAGGTTAAACGAGCAAATGGCTTACCTGTACACAACTTCATAAAATCAGATACTTTTTGGTACTTTTCATTCAGCATTATTGCACACCTAGGGGTGACTGCAGAGGTGTCGCTCATTTTGTGGATCAAAAGGTTTTTATAACATTTCTGCTGAAATAACAATGTAGAACTGATGGGTCGAGTGGTTCTGATGCAGCAGCAGTTCACTTTGGTCTTGGCTGCATTGGGTCTAGCTGTTGGCTCCTTCCTGTTGAACGTAAACTCTACTTCCTCCAACTGAGGCTATTCAAAGAGCTGTTTGTGACTAACAAGTTATAAATTGTTCAGCTTTACCACAAAACCCCACTGTGGAAAGGCAGAAATATATCTATTAATGTCATGTTTTCCTCTTGTTAAAACTCTAGCCTGCCCCAAAGGTAAACACTTAAATGTAAAATAGTTTTATGGTTTTTCTTTTCGTCTCTGTATTTATTCTTCTCATGACAGCAGATCAACTTTAAAGCCAAGAAAATTAAGTTTGAATTTTTCAGTAATCTTTGACTTCAGTGTGGAGACACTAACAGAGAGTCGACTTTAGCTTTTTTTTTGTATTATTTTCTTATTTTAAAGTCAAATAGGTTTTATCTTTTTACCTGATTTGCTTGATTGTGATAAAACATCTAAGATATAATAAATGAAAAATATGTTGATAGAAATTCAGGCATAAGAAGTGAATCCTAATTATGACTCTTTCTATGCATATATATATATATATATATATATATATATATATATATGTATATATATATACTGTATATGTGTGTCTTTTACTGTTTGGGTTTGTTGGAGAGAAAATGATCTAACAACTCAATCTGAAGTGTTTCTTAGTCTAACAGTTGAAAAGAAATTAATACAGCACCATGTGGCTCACATGGGATGTGCTTTGAGTCGGTTCTTCTAACTCAGCATAAAAAAAAGAATTAAATGATTGGGTAAGAGAGGAAAGAGTTTGTCTAAACTGGATTTCATTTCATCCCAAGTATTGATCTTTAGGTAATAAAACCACCTGACTGCCTCTGAAAATCACAACAGAGGCAAAGCCAGGAGAAAAGGGTTCTACAGCTTTGTGAGGAGAGATGTCTTTGTGAACTGACCTCTCTAAAATATTTGGAGCAGTCGTGCTAAAACATCTGACTTCATTAGCTGTGTTTACGTTCAGGTCACAGACAGACACAGAACAACAAGCAGAAATGTTTGTTGTGCATCAGATCTATGACAAAAAGTTTGGGAGGAATAATACGGCTGCAAATATTTGATTAAAGCTTATTTTTTTGATTTCTGCAATGCCTTGTGATTTCTCCTCCTGTAGCTTTGCAAGAGTCCTTCAAAAAAGACATCAAAATGTGATTTATAAGTAACAGCGTGAAATGACCCACCCCAGATGCAGTCAGGGGGTTTTATTACCTCAAGATCAAAGTTGGTTTAGTGAAGAAGTATAAAATATGTGCTTAGGGTTTGTAGTTTGAGAAAGAGTTGATGTTTGAATTAAATTGCTTGGAAAAAAGGGGCAGATAATATAAGAATTTTTTNATATATAATTTGGAAAAGGTCATTTGTGTTATAAAAATGATTGGTTATGTAAAATTTCTTCAAAAATGTTCTAGTTTTGAATTTTGGTTCCTTTGAGTTTGACACCCTTGCTGTAAACAAAGTCTATTTCAGGTCATTTTGAGCTAACCTACAGTGAAAACATGCAGTGAAAACTGTTCAGTGTGTAGAAAATAGTTGTTCATTCTCAGGAGTCAGACATTTACAGCCATTATAAATTTAATTTACAGTTTAAAGTCTTATTTTACTTTAAAAAAAACGCAGTCCCTGCAGGTGGACTGAGTTGTGTGGATCTAGCAGTGTCACCCCTCTGACAGATATAGTGTATTTGTTATTTACTTACATGTCAAGTTGTATGGATTGTCTGTAATTTGCACAGATTTTCCCTCATAAAGCAATCTCAATCTGGTTCCTTTTTATGCAGCATGGTCTTTGAGGTTTTTCATAAAATCTCAAATGTCTTAAACGGAGTTATGTCAAACATATAAAAACTGCAGCTTTTCAGTAAATATTAAAGCTGTATTTTAAGGCCTTGTTGTTCCCAGTGGAAAAATATGCGCAACACACAAAACACTTGTTGGCACGCACACCCCGATTTCCACATGAGTACCTCAGCTTTCTGGGATAAACAGATCCACAGATGGTATGTTGTCACACTGGCTGGGAGACTCCCAGGGTGCGGAGCGTCGCCTTGCTGTGTCTCCATCTTGTTTATTCCGTGGACGTCGAGCTCACTGCCTGTGTTAAAGGAAAACACGTCCCAAACATGAGCTGTACAGAGTACACCAGGGTCCACGCTGCTGTAAAATACACCGTTAAATAAYATAATAAACCTACATTTATCTGACATGCAGCCACTCATCATCAACATGAACATATATTTGTTTGTTCACATTCCTTTTTTCTTAGTTTTTATTGTATCTTCACCAAGTTATGTTTTCTCATATTTATCTTAGCATTTACTCAGTAAGAAACTGTCACATGAAGCCAGAATTTAATGTTTTCCTGATGATTCTGAATGTTTCTTGCAACCAAACTCTGCATTTATTGTTATTTTAACCTTTCATAAATCTTAACAGTCGACATTGGGAATGTTGTGCTTTGACTTTAACATTTTAAAATATCTATTTAAAATACAAATTCTCAGAAATACACAGATTTTTTCGATTCCTTCAGAAACTTTTCCTTTCAGCTACCTGCTATTGCTATAATAATGTAATGTCTTTTAAAAACTGATTTATACTGTTCTGTTCATTTCATCTTCATCTACTGTTCTGTTGCTTTTAGCTATTGCATTACCACTTGTATCTTTTTTAGTTGTTTTTAGCTTATACTGTGCTGCTTTTAATTTTTAGCTTGTCTTCTGTGTATTTAGCTTTTGTTCCACTCATTTAAACTTTCTTCCTCTGACAATGTTTCTCTCATTAAAATTATCAATCTGGCTGCTGCAACTTTCACTATCTTTCACATACTGTATTTAGGCCTCAGCTTGGACATAAAACACTAGTCCTTTGAAATCAGTGTAATAAGACAAAGGGCAAGCCACAGTGAGTCAGCATGTACAGGGTACATTTTGATTTTGCTCYAACCCACTAGTGTGGATGGTTAAGCTTCCAGCAAAGATAGATGAGTCTAAGTGTGTCAGCACAAAGGAAGCAAAGACAGGCGCAGGGAGTTCTGAACCGCACTTCTTCATACTTTATGCAGATTTTTAATCAGATGGCCAGAATAAATCTTTTGTTTTAACCTGTTGAATACCACCCAATAGTGACATGTTTAATAAGGCTGACTCAGGTCCTCTGAACAGGTTCCTGTTTGGAAGAACTCGTCTAGAAGACCCGACTGAACCTTGTTAGATTCATCTATTATTTGAGTGTAAATCAGAAACAGTGACAAACATCTACTTTAGCAATTCTAATGCAGCTTAAATAGTGAATGTGCTAAAAGAACAGTTATTTTGCTGTCAGTCAACATAAGTTTATGTATAAATATCAGTCACATCTCTCCCTACACAGTCAATTTAAGTTGACTAACTTCAATTCAGTTTCTTTATACAGCATTAATTCATAACAAATGTTATAAACAAAATAAGTCCAAATTCTATATCTAAGTAGTCCAATGACAATACAACACAATCAAAAACTGAATGTTATAAAATTAATACATTGTGTTAGTTTTTAAGTTTTTACTCTTTTGTGCTTTTAGATTTTATATGTTTATGTATAGTTTCTTTCTGCTTGGTTTGTTTTTTTGTTCTTAATCAGTGTTTAGTATCTGCTTAGGTTTGCGCTTGCAGTTTTTTCTGTTTATGTCCTCAGCCAGTGGATTACTTCAGCTCCTCACAGCCAGGGACCCTCCCTTGCCCGCCATTTGGCTTTCATTGCACCCTGCCTCGATGGTCCTCCTCACAGATGGGCCCACACGGAGGTGGTCTGTCTCTCCTTCTGACTTGGCCCAGCCAAGCACCAGGAGCCACCATACCTTTCAAGCCTGGCTCCAGGGGGTTGCCCCGGTTTCTCTATTCCAGGTAGTTTCCTGATGCACATGTTAACTATCCACCAACGTTTTGTGTCCCTCTTAGTTTGGGAAGAGACCCCAGGGAAGACAGAGAACTTGATGGAGGGATTTTATATCCTCTCCTGGGAATGCACACGGGAGACGGTTGTCTGGGTTTCTCCAATGGACTTGTTGCCTTTGCAACCCAACCTGTAGAAAATGGAGATGGATGTTAGTTTGTAAAAAGCTATCTGCCAGCAGAATGAACTGGATCTTCACTTGGTCAAAATCTCTAATCTTGAGTGATAAGTTGGTGACAGTGGACAGGAATGACTTCCATTTAACAGAAAGAATCCTTTCAGCATAACAAGACCCAGGATTTTCAGCCATCTGCTACAGCCAGCTGTGGGCTGAGAGGACAGAAAAAGGAC